TAAAAGGAGTATTTTTGAAAAGTAGCATTGAAAAAGTGGCATTTTTGCAAAAGCCCCTATTAAAATTCAGTTTATGATTTATTTATTAATCTCATTTAAAATTAGTTTGTCATGAGGTAAAACTAACTTATAAGATTACTTCATTTTGTATGCTCATTGATGGATTTGTATTATCGTTTTCAAATTAATAAAGAATGAAGATGTTAAAAAATATATATATATATATATATATATATATATATATATATATTAAACAATGTTTGTTTTCCATAATTTTTGTGGATTTTTATTTTTCATTAAATATTCGTTATCTGTTAATTATATTTAATATTAACTAAGATATCGGTTGGATATGATATACAGACGATTTTTACATAAAATTATTATTAGCAGCTTATCCATTAAGATGAACTATAAAGACTCAAAATCAAGTTTATTATGATGCTATAAATAGTTAAATTATATTGCAAAATATAATGTGTAAGATTGAAATTTCGTTTAAAAAAATATACTAAATTAAATATATAAAAAGTATGTCGGTTACTATTTAGGATTTAAATATCATCAATATGAAAGAGTGTGTAGAATTAAAATTCAGTTTATTACGATAAAATAAATAGTTAAAATATATACCAAAATAAAATATGTAAGATTTAATTTTTGTTTAAAACAAAAAAAATACTAAATCATTAAATATTAGGAAAAGTGTATGGATTACTATTTATTATTCAAAATTTAAATATCATCGATAATAATTTATATTTTATATATTATACCCGCCTATTTAGGCGGGCTTTATCTAGTATATATATACACTAATGAAACTAATAACACAATTTAACATAAGTTTGATAAAATAGTAATGTACCATAAATTTAGCCCCCAAAAAAAAAATTGTAGCCAAAAATATATATATATATATATAGCCAAATCGTGGTTACATATTTCATAGTTTTGGGGGAGAGTCAAATATAAATTATGAGGCTAGACTTTTTGTCTATTGTTTTGATTTTGAAATTCAAAACTTGCGTGGACACATACTTAAGAACTTGATTATTATTTTAGTTAGCTTTTAGGGATAAAGATTTAGTCTAAGATTAGTAGTAGACTAGAGAATAAGAATAGACAAAAAATAGTAGTTAGAGTTTAAGAACCTGACAGAAATAACAGAATAAGAATAGACCAATAATGATTAATAAAGATAATTTAATAAAGTCTATCCACCATGGACCATGTATAGAGAATCAAAGATTATGGTTTTTCGTTTGCCTCATCTACATTCTGCAAATTATGTTATTCATTATATTTGCATTACCACCGCGGAATTTTCTTTAATAATTTCGTTATTTTTGTCAAATTCCTTACATACATTCAACCGTAATTACACATGTATGGTTACACATTGCTAACACAACCGTAATTAGGTTTTGGAATATAGCTAAATTTTATGGAGAGTGATTACACCCTCGATGTTCCTCAATAAACAAATCTCCATAAAATTTAGCTATATTCGCAACAAACATATATACATTATATATGTCACCGAAGGCAATGAAAATTCTCTCATTCTTATAATATTGTCAATGATATTCGTGAGTCATTTTACATAGGAACGAGATTTTGTGATTGATATTAGAACGGAACCAAGATTTTGTCTATTCCTATTTTTTATTTTTCTTAAATCTATGCCTATTTTGATATAATATAGTTGGTCAATTTATAGACTGAGAAGCTCTTAATCAAATTCAAGAAGACAAAGCAAGTTAAAAAACTGTTTTAACAAAAGAGAAAATATTCCATTAGACTTCTTGAAAGTAGTTAGAAATTTAACACGAACAAATACAAAAAGAGAATTTTTAATAGCACAACGTACACTTGCAGAAATTTCCTCACAATAACCACAAAATTTCTCATAGAATAAAAAAAAAACAGTTTAGATCTTTCAAACCTCCTCGAAACTAAACTAATATTCAAAAGCACGTGCTCCCTAATAAAACTCATTCCCGACCCGACTGCATAATACCCGACCCGATCCAAAAACATCTTATAAATATGCCCCATGCAAACTCACAAACAACTCAAAACACTCTTATCATCAAAACCATTTATCTCTCTCAAAACCATATATCTCTCACTCATCCCATTCTCTCTCTAGATGGCTTCTTACTACGATAAGCTTACTTCTTCAAGAGTAGCGATCATCGGTGCTGGTGTTAGCGGATTAGCAGCCGCTAAGAACTTAGCTCATCACAACCCGACCGTATTCGAAGCCTCGGATTCAGTCGGAGGTGTTTGGAGGAGCTGCACTTACGAGACGACTAAATTACAATCGGCTCGAGTCGATTACGAGTTCTCCGACTTTCCATGGCCCAATAATAGAGATGACACAACTTTCCCATCTTACGTTGAGATATTAGATTACTTGGAATCTTATGCTAAGCATTTTGATCTTCTCAAGTTCATGAAGTTTGGCTCTAAGGTCATCGAAGTTAGGTTCATCGGTGACGGCCAAACTCCTCAGATGGTTGACCTTGGTGCTTACGGCAATTTGTTGCCCGGAAAACCTGTATGGGAAGTTGCAGTTCAGACCGGAGATTCTGGAGATATTCAGGTTTGTCTCATATCTTTGCTTATGCATGCATTTACACGAACATATGGTATTTAGTATATATTTTGGAGTACCTATTTTTAGTCTAAACGTCGCATAGAACTTCCTAATAGTTTTTGAAAACTACCGCATGCATCATTAACCCGATTGAGTACTTACGTCTATTTGTGACGTATTGTATAATGTTTTTGTTATTAATGTTTGTGCGCAGTGGCATGCATTTGAGTTCGTGGTAGTGTGTACCGGAAAATACGGCGACGTTCCAAGAATACCTGCTTTTCCGGCAAAGAAAGGACCGGAGATATTTCAAGGAAAAGTAATGCATTCGATGGATTACTGCAAGTTAGAGAAAGAAGAAGCTTCTAGTCTCCTCCGTGGCAAAAAAGTGGCCGTCATCGGCTTCAAGAAATCCGCCATCGATTTGGCTTTAGAGTCTGCTTTAGCTAATCAAGGTATATACATATCTATGTATATTTATATAAAATTAGCTGATCAAGTCAAGAAAATATAGTAATAGCAACAATTGTCTTACTTACTAGTATATATTATTTCTTTTCCGTTGGACTTGGACCATTATGGTTCTAGTTGGCAACAATCAAACAGTTACTTGCAAGTTAACAAACCGACAGATTAAATATATATCCTAAGTAAGATGACCCAATCCAATAACAAAATATAATATTTAAATTTTGCAGGAGGAGGAAAAGCTTGCACAATGGTGGTGAGAACAACTCATTGGGTGTTCCCACATTATTGGGTGTGGGGTTTACCATTCTTCTTGTTCTACTCAACGAGAGCTTCTCAGTTCCTCCATGATAGGCCTAACCAAAGCTTCCTTAGAACTCTCTTTTGCCTCATCTTCTCTCTGCTGGTTAGTCATCTTAGAACCATTCTCACTTCTCTATAAATTGCACAATCTTGTGAAATGTTATAATTTTTCTAAACATATATAATAGCGTGCTGCGGTTTCCAAGTTCATCGAATCATATGTTCTGTGGAAGCTACCTCTTGAGAAATATGGTCTTAAACCGGACCATTCTTTCGAGGAAGACTACGCTTCTTGTCAAATGGCGATCATACCGGAGAAATTCTTTGAGGAAGCGGATAAAGGGATGATCCGGTTTAAGAAATCATCAAAATGGTGGTTTTATGATGAAGGGATTGAGTTTGAAGATGGGACTACGTTAGAAGCTGATGTTGTGATTCTTGCGACTGGTTATGATGGCAAGAAGAAGCTCAAAGCTATTGTTCCTGAACCTTTCCGAACTTGGCTTGAGTTTCCATGCGGTGTCATGCCTTTATACAGGTACGTACACTTATAAAATCGTCTTTAGATTAATTATTTGAGTATTTGAAATTTGGACCGTTGCTTATATATAATAACAAAAAAACTAAATAAATTACAGGGGAACAATCCATCCATTGATACCGAACATGGGTTTCGTGGGATACGTCCAAAGCAACTCGAACTTACACACATCAGAGCTACGTACGATGTGGCTAAGCCGGCTGGTGGATGAGAAATTCAGATTACCAAGCAAAGAGAAGATGTTGGATCAATTCTTCAAAGAAATGGAAGTGACGAGAAATTCAAGCAGATTCTATAAACGCCATTGCATTTCCACTTTCAGCATCCAACATGCTGATGATATGTGCAACGACATGGGACTCAATCCTTGGCGTAAATCCAACTTGCTCCTTGAAGCTTTTAGTCCTTATGGTTCTCAAGATTACCGACTCGGTCAAGAAGAAAAAGAAGATGGCGGCTTAAACTAATTGAACTTATTACAAAATGATATTGTTACGAATTGTTGTGTGATGGATATATAATTAATGAATGAATAAATAAATGTATCTTTAAGTACATGAGCTTCTATAGATAGATACTAAACATGCAAAAATGTTTTTAGTAATATTGTATACTTGTATGAAAATATATACTACTCCCTCTGTTCTATTTTGTTTGTAGTTTTAAGCTTTTTTTTTGTTCCAATTTGTTTGTTTTTTTCACATATCTATGCAAAATTTTACTTATTCCGACAATTTATATTTTCTTAGTAATTAATTTAAATTCGAAAATAATTAATAAATTTTGGTCAAAGAAGTCCAAAAGCCCAAATACATAACAATCGACAAAAGCATATGTAGTCAAAGCATTGTTTAATTATTTATTTTAATTATCTTAATTAATGATTTTTAACCAAAATTAAGTTTTCTTAATAAGCGTGATTTTAGTTAAAACTACAAACAATATGGAACAGAGGAAGTAATAATTTGACCTTGGTCAATGATTATTTTCAACTAGCAAATTGTGGTTTTTTTTTTTTTTGGGGGCAAATTTCTCTTTTTATTATATTTATTGCTCTTTGAGTAATTCCAATTTTGTCCTCTTTGGTTTTGGTCAACGACAAGTCGCTTCCTAGTAGAATCATCAGCTGAGGATTGAACCCTAAACCCTAATTGATCGTTGTGCGATAATGGAGGGTCTGGAGAAGTTTTACAGCAAGATGGTGAAAGATGCAAAATCGGCAGTTTCTTCTTCGTCGTCTTCTCTATCTGATTTTGCGGATAATCTGATGCAGGACAAACGAGGCGCCGGCAGCAATTTGACTTCATACGACGCAGGATCCGGCGTTCTAGTCAACAGACCTCCGAGGTAAAGCTGCTTCTGTTCCTATTTTTGAAACTCTGGATTCAATTTTGTCTGCAATTTGTTCGAATAGTGATCATTCACGAAGAAAGCGAAAAACTTTAAGAATTTTGGGTCCGACGAAAAGTGAGTGATGTTCTTACTTTCTGGGAGATAAACGAGGGCATTTATCGAGTTCTCAGATTCTCTCTAATTATGGGAAGGATGATAATCACTATTTGTTGATGATGGATTATGAAATTGGTCTGCTCGAGAGAACTATAGAAAAGATGAAACAGAAATGTAAAGGAGGGCACAGGGCTGATTCTTTGTTATAGCTCAAAACCTACAGACTATGTTGACTTCCCAATTCCACATCAGAGAAAGCTTGTAAATTTGTAATGGCCTGGTTCAAATGATCTAGATCTTAGATACGCGAGGAACAGAACTGTGCAGGTCGATTATAGACGATCTAGTAGGAGATTAGCGTTGTTCTTGTTTTATTTGACTAAGATGTAATGAGTTTACATTTTTCATCTGACCTATCTTGGGGCTATGTTTGGTGGCAGCGGAGTTTCGGTCTGGACGTGCTCAAAGTTGTGCGCTGTTTTCTTTGTCGCTGGAGTGTTTGTGGGTTATACCCTTAAGAGACGGGTTCGACGCTGGGCTTCTAAATTGCTCAGAAGAATAAAGGATGATTAACTCCAACCTCTGTTTTGTCTTCTACTGCGAGTTTTGGTACTGTTATCACATAGGCATTACTCTATGTTCCTTCTTGAATGTGTTTCAGTACCAATATACTGTGCTTGAGGCACCTTGTTGATGAAACTTTTTTGTTTACTTTTCTGCCTCTGTGACTAGTAGTAGCTTGTGGTAATGGAAAGAGAGATTGGATCATCTTGGGAAAGACGCGTATATTATTTCGTATAGAGTAACTTATATTTGTTATTTTCATGCCTTTAGGCGGGTCTATACAAACAGGCAAGACAATGTTTGTGACATAGTGTATATAATCTACTTTGCTAAGTGACTGTGAAGTTAGTATGAGAAAATAAATGGCTTCAATCTCACTTTAGGGAAAGTGATAGAAGCTGGCTTGTAACATTGAATTAGAAATGCTCCTTATGGAATTCGAACCGTGTGGTTGTTTTTTGACTCATGTCTTGTGCTTGCTTCTTCAACTCCTTTGCCACGGTTGGTATGCCGCAGTAAAACACGCCTGCACAGTTAATAAATGGTTTTCACATATCCTTCGTAATACCTGGCCTAAATAGGTTCATGTGTTTGCCTGTGTCATTAATTCTTATTGCTAAATTTTCTTTCTTTTCCAATGGTACTAATTCATTAGTCCTAGAAGAGAGGTTTATCAGATGTCTTGTTGGTAAGCAGCTGATTGTATAGAATATTTACCGACTGTCGAATTTGGATGCTTTCTTGCTATGCTACTGAAGACTTCCTTCCAGTTGGGCCTTGCAAAATGTGTTCTCACCTGTTGGAATGATGTTATCTTGTCAGTTATAGGTAGTATTGGGAAATAGTTTCTGGTTATATGCCCTGCAACAGTTCTTACCCGTGTTCCGGATAGAATATCAACTCCATGTTTGGCATGGTTCAAAGCCTGAACCATTTTTATCAGGGTTGATCTTGCATCACCTTCATCATATACGCTTGTAAGGTAGTTGTGCAACTCAATCTGGCCCTGTATTACGAGATGAGTATGTTAGAATATCGATCAACGTTAAAGTGGTGATGAAAATGAATGATATGCTGGTGTTATTACTCTGCAGTCCATGTCTGATATTTCTTCCATTACTCCTCTAAACCATTCAACGGATCCTGGCTCCCTTGTGACCCAGTAAAAGTGAGCCTTCACTGCTTTCTTTTTCCCTCCATGTGTTGAAGTTGGGGTTGTTGTGGTATATGAAGAGGTATAGCTATTCCAGCTGAAATCCGATCTGCTGAATTCATTGTCCTGTGCCATTGAAAGTTAAGAGATATGTATTTGGTTCTTGAAAAGACTAACTTTTCTGGTGCACTGAATTGGACTTACTGTTTGTTCGTCTCTTGAATTGTTCAGGAGATCCTTCAGGATACTTATGAAAGGAGTAGCTCCTATTCCCAATCCAATGAGGAGTAAGACATCATAGCTTCTGTAGTCCTGTGCTGGAGCTCCATATGGGCCGTCTACTAGTAATTTCGGTCGGCTGCCAATGCAAGATCAACAAGCATGTTAATACTAGGTTTCCAAGTGTAGAAAAGAGAAAGCAAAGGTGTCTGGAAATATACTTTATTGTATCAATATTGCAATAGGCAGAGAATTTTGAACGCCCAATCACGCATGTTGAAAGATCTTTGCCCACAGTTAGAACTCGTCGTAGCTCCTCTGTCCAGTCTCCGAGTGTTCGGATGTGAACACTAAGTTGGTCATCTCCTGGTGCAGAGGTAATAGAAAATGGGTGCCTGGAAAAGTTTAGGGAATATCTTTTTTGAGTGGAACCTGAGATGTTTGTTAACACTATGGGAAGTCGGTATCAGTACTCACCATTCAAATCGAGAGATAGTTGGACACTGCAAGAATATGTATTGACCGCTCTTGTACTTGAATCCAGGAGGCTTTGACATGATTAAGCTGAGTACTTCTCCAGGTAGCATAGAAACCTGCAGAGATCATATTGAAAGGTCTATTTTGTTATTAAAACACCTTTTAACAGGAATGAATTTGCTGGGTTTGTGGTAGTTGCCTTGAGGATTTTGACAGAGTAATGCTTTGACCTACAAGCTCGCAGACTTCGTTCTGCCACATAGAGCACCAAAGGAACCGAGATGTACATCCAAGTCTGAGGACACCGGTAATCAACAATAATTTAGGTTTCTAGAAATTTGGCATTTCGGTTTAAAGTAAAGAGCGATTATGTTTGCTGATGCTTACAGTTTTCTGATACCACTTATCAGCAAAGAACAGGAAGGTACCGTGGACAATGAGCATGATGTAGACAACCACTAGAAGGTGATGAGTGTACCAGAATGCGTTAAAGCCAGTCAACCGATCAAGTGGTGCCGGAAGCCTCACACGGTTTCTCCTGAAATGAGTTGATGCTAATGTGAATGCGATGGTTGTCAAGATCACCATCGAGATCCCAGTGATTCCTTCTGCACCTGTCATCAGGTCTTTGAATGTGGGCTTAGTACCATTGAAGGCAGAAGCAATCAAGGCGAATTCTTCTGGACTCGAGTTTATAATCCGGGGGAAATCACACGCCAAATGAGTACCAGCATGAACAAGTATCCCAATCGCTATGGCACAAGCAATAATCTGGCACACAAACGGGACAACAGAGAGAGAGAAAGAGTTGATCTCAAGTGTTGTATTGATGAAAACTGAGAAATCGAAAGACTGAAGGAAGGTTGTATTGTACTTTTACCTTATGGAAATTGATGTTGTCATCAAAAGGAACACAAGCTCGAGCGCGTGTAGATCTTAGCCAAGTCAATGTGTTTCTGCAGACAGGTAATAAAACCAGAGCCATATTGAGCTTAAGAGTCTCTGCAGCTCCTTTAGCAGTGGTTAAACAATACCCCATGACCTTAAACGCAGCTTTCTCTCTGTACTCAAGAAACTTCCAGACGAATAGGATGGCCATAAGCATGATCCACAGCAAAAGAACCCAGCTTCTTTGCCAGTTATCTAGAACCAGACACTGAAGTTTTTTTCTACATTTTCGAACCACATGACGAGGTCTGATTAGATTCCGTCTTGGTGTACTCACTCCAGCGCTTGTTGTGCTAAGCGGTCTACTGTAATTCATGTATGCGTCTCTCTGAAGTAAGAGTGTCTCGAGTTGCCATAACTGAAACAACACAAAAAGGTTAGAAAACAAAACAAAATCATCGATAGTGTGTTTGAAGAGTGATGACATATAATGTTTTGAACCTCAATGTATCCAAAATTCTCTGGATCAAGTTCTTCCATGATCAGAGATGCGTACTCTTCTGCTTGTTCCTTGAGTTTTGCTAACTTGTTTGCTGATGCACTTAGCATCAAAAGCTGCGTTTCAAATCATAAGAGTTGTTAGAGACATATGATTGTTTCAAACGTAATTTTCGGTGTTGAAAAAGAAAGTTACTTCTTTGATTTCTTCTCTAGTGATCTTCCCATCTTCGTTGCTATCAGCCCTGTGACAAAACCGGTACTAGATATTAGCATCTTTTTTGTATTAGTAACACTGCAATTATAACAGAATTGTATAATCGTTAAACCAAAAAAAATGACAGAATAACGAAATGAATTGAGTAACCATAATTTTACTGAATTAAATGTTTGGCAAAAAAAAATTGAAAACTCATTTTGGCATCTGGTGTGTAGTTTAAGACTTGCAAGTAACTTATTGCGGGGAGAAAGCTGAAAGAAGAAAACTTTTTTGGAAATTTGGTAAAAGTTGGTTTTACTGGGCCAAGTAAACTACAGCCCATTCTTTAAACACATTAGACCATTTTCACCGTTGATTGCGTGAACTACCAGATCCAACGGCTAAAAACACCACGTGATTTAAATGATGTATCTATCTCTCTACAAAAATATGATATCAGTGAAACATTTGCCTTGAAACAATCACAATTCAGCTTAACCAACACATGTTTTTAATTTATGCCTAATAATTCCCAAAATTGTAGAAAATTATTGTGAAGTTGCGGTAGTTCTCACTAAAGAGATAACAAATTCCAATCAAAGAAATGATTGGTAAGCTAACATTATCTTTAATCAACAACATTAATTTTTTACTCAATATTTGATTTAATCAGCTAAACTTGATAAAATACCACAAAAAACAAAAATTAGTCCAATCTTATAAAACTGCAAGTTGATCAAACTTCATCTACATTATTCAGAATTCGGAATACTAAAAAACTAATTATCAATTACAGATAAAGTTTTCTTCAATGATTAACGTCAACTGATTAATATTCGTTGCACTTGGATCAATACACTTGTTTTCTTATGCTTTTGCTAATTGCAATGCGTTATTCCCGTAACAGTTATAAACGTAAAGACAAAACAAAACTTGACTTTAAAATAAAATAGAAAGAGAGAATCAAAGACACGTACATGTCGAAGAAAATTTGAAGACGGGCGTCGAAGCTTTGGTCAGAAATCTGTAACCAGAAGTCATGAAGTTCATCTCTCGTTATCTTCTCCAGTTTCTGTCTCCTTCTTCGAGCCAAAGCGTCGAATACACTGACCGCGAATTCCTTCGAATCCACCATCCCTTTAAAAATTTCAAAACATATATAGTTTGTTATATTAATTTGGCAATGAGTGGATTGGTCCATATTCGATTTTTCTTTGACTTACCAACGCACTCGCCAAAATCGTCTCGCGCGAGTAGTCCTTCTTTAGCAAGCGATTCGAATCGTTTCTCAACTTTTTTCCACATCTGATCGCAATTGCAATCCCAATCGCAGTCGCAGCTGTTTCCTCTCGTGGTTTTATTGATAAATTGTAATCCTTTTAACGCTCTTTGCGCACTCGACGTTGATCGCTGTAATATCGCGTCTTCTCTCCGTCTATCCCTCGCCGTCATAATTCCCGAAGTCTCCGCCGTCTGACGTTCGAGATCTCTATCTCTCTCGCCGGCGGTAGAAGACGTCGTCGTTTTCCAAGATTCCGACCTCAGTAATTTCCCCAGTTTCTGCCGGATTCTCGTAGATGCATTCGATAGATTCCTCGACAATCTCGCGGTTACTAAATCCACCGATCTCGGCCGAGAATCAACAGACGCCGCCTCCGACATTCCGCAAACGAGTATGGAGTCATCGCCGACGTCAAGCTCCAACGTCACCTCCACGAGCTCTCTTTCCCAGCTACTACTTCCGGATTCTCCACTGTTACGACTCAAACCGTTGAGAAAAACCGGCAGCATTGCGCCGCCGGCAAATGGAGATGATCTTAACT